CTGCTTGCAGATTTCTGTTTGATCGTCGGTGCCGAAAGCACTGATGAGGTCTTCCTTCTTAGCGACCTGGCCTTTGGAGACGTTCACGAACACGGAGTGAGTCTGCAGGACCTCGTCCAGGTCTTTCTCCCTAGGGAGGGCGGGAGAGGCCGCTCACAGCCTGGACTCGCCTGCAGGGCCGCCTGGGCACGCCCTGGAGGACGCAGCCCCGGCCCGCGCCGCCCGCCCCGGCCTGCCCTCGGACGCGGCGGGGCCGACCCACCCCGCGACCCGCCGGGGTGCCGGGCTCACTCACACGCCGCTGCGCCAGCCCACCACCTTGTTCTTGTAGCAGGCGATTTCGAAGCGCTTGCCTGCGCGCTTCATGCGAACCACCGCCACGTTGGTCAGGCGGATCTGGTTGGTGGGGGTGAAGATAGACATGGTGTCCGCTCACAGATCGCGGCCGGGGAATCAGGGCTCTGCGCCTCGCGGCCACTGGTGCCCAACTCCAACGACCCCAGGCGCGCGCAACCCTAACGACAGCCACGGGGCTAGGCCCGTCCGCGACCGCCACTGCGCACTTCGCAGACCCACTGCGCACCTCGGAGACGCACTGCGCAGGCGTCCGGCCCGGCGCATCGGGCGGGGACGCGAGCTACCACCACACCTGCGCTTTGCGGCTTTTTACGACGCGGTTTACGTCAGCGAGTGAGAAGAACTGTTAGGTCTGTGGCTGAAGTTTAGAGACCGGATGGAAATGCAGCACCATTGTTGCAGAGTACCGCAGAGTTCCGGGGTCACGCCCACTTTAACTTATTCAGGTTGTTTTCTTTTCCTTGCTGGACATCGAACCCAGGTCCTTGCGCACGCTAGGCAAGCGTTCTACACTCCTAGCCTAAAGGGAAAAATTACCAAACAATAGAGACTAAAAAAAACAACAAAACAATGAACTCCTATCGTCCCTATTTCATTTTTGGCAACACTTTTCCTTCTTTTATTTCCTATTCCTCATTTTTTGGTCAAGTATTTTAAGACAAATCATCCCATGATTTTAGCCTTAAATAATGAAGCAGGTACTTTAACAGTACGTCCAACGACATTAACCATGATTGCTCAGCACCTTGTAACAGTCACGGAACTGAGACACAAACATCAACATACGCCAGTCTTTTAATACTCCTCCCCTAGTTCTCCCCCCGCCCCGCGTTCCCAGACGAACTTAGCTGCCTAGTGTTTTGATTGGTGCTTCTTTCTGGGCTTTCCTCTTCCCCCTCAGCCAATCCAAGCACCACCGGCAGCGCTGGCTCGGGCCCTTTTGCCTAGCGCGCTGGGCGGTGCTCCCCCCTCGAGCCCGCCCACTTCCCCTCTGAGCCAATACGAGCAAGACGAGGAAAGCGCCGGCTCAGAGCGCTGGGTGGTGCTTCCGATGGGCCCGCCCCTTTCCCTTCTGAGCCAATCCAGGCAGGGTCCGGCGCGTCCGGCGTCCCCTCTCGGCCCGCCTCTTTCGCTCCGGAGCGGTCCCGCGCGGCAGCGAGCGGCATGGCCTGTCACCGGGCTGCGAGTTCTGGCCTGCGCGGCCGCTGAGGAACAACTATCTCCGGGCCTGAGGGCCTGGGCTCCGAGGAGCATGGGTGAGGCCCGGCGCGGCGAGGCGTGAGGAGGCGGGCGGATCTCCGGGCCTTGCCCCCGAAGGCTATCCCGATGGTCGCGACGCTTGACCCGCTTCTGCCCTTGGAGACTGGGGGCGAGGTCTCGGCATCCGCTTCCGAGGCGGAAAGGCACGGCCTCGCCGCCCCACGCTCAGGACCCGGAGGAGGGGTCCTTGGGGGTGGTGCCTGGCCGAAGCTCGGGGCGCTCCTCGCGTCCCCTCCGCTCGCGGCGAGGCCTGTCGCGGGCCCGCGGCGGCGGCGCGCGCCTGTGGCCCGAGGCGGCTGCGCACGGTTCGCGGGCCTCGCCGCTGGGTCGCCTCCTGGCGCCGGACCTGGCTCTCGTTGGTCTTGCCTGTCGCGGTGGGCGCTGTCTGCGGGGCTGTTCCAGCAGGTCCCCTACGTGAACCTGGGGGCTGGCTTTCGCGGTGTTTTTCTTGCAGCTTTAAGTAGCCTGGCTAACGTGTCGTTCTGAATTTAGATCCCCCTCTGGCCGCCTGGGACCTCTCCTCGCCTCTGCTGTCCTTGTGGATGCACAGGTTTTACCTTTATTTGGGCTTTGCTTTCGGCATCAGCCTTTGGATCTGTGTCCAGATTCTCATCAAGAAGCAGGTAAGGGGCTGGAGCTGGGGCTCAGCGGTGGAGCGCCTGCCTAGTACAGGGCCCTGGGTTCGATCCTCAGCAATACATAAAAATAAATAAAGTCAAGGTATTGTGTCAGACTACAACTAAAATAAATAAATATCTAAAAAAAAGAAAAAGAAGCAGGTGAGTCGAGTAGGTTTTCTTTTCCCTTCCTTTTAATACAGTATTTAGGTATCAGATTTTACAGAGAATTTAGAGTGCAGATTTTCCAAGCCTTTCAGAAGAAATGCAGAAAATCTAAAAGTAATTTTGAATCATTTTCATGTTTGATCTCTAGTGTGTTGTGTGTGTGTTTGCTGGAGACTGCATCCTGGGCCTAGTAGCGCATGCCAGCCAAAGAGCTTCCGGTCTCATTATTATTTTCTAATAGCTTCACAATCTTTTTCTTTAAGTTTTTAGAGAATAAGTTATTATTCTATTATCTGAGTTAGATACAGCAGATCTTTATTTATTTGCGTATTTTTTGGGGTACTGGGGATTGAACCAAGAGGCACTTTACCACTGAGCTGCATCCCCAGTCCTTTGTACTTTAATTTTGAGGCAGGTCTCACTAAATGGCTGAAGCTGGCCTCTAACTTGTGATCCTCTTGCCCAAACTACCTTCTGTCCCCAGTCCCTGGAATTATAGGACTGTGCCATCAAACCCAGCTACAGGAAGATGTTAGTAATGAAAAATTTCTTATAAAAAATCTTTTATAAGAAAATCAAAAATGTTTTGTACTTTTAAGCATCAGTAGTCCTCTTTTTGCATTCCACTAATGAAGGATCAAAACAAAGTTTCCAATGTTATTCCAGTAAAACACATTGCAGAGGAAAGTATGCATGGTTGGCCTTCTGGGTTCAATAGGATTAACCCAGTTACAGATTGAAAATACTTGGGGAACTCCCAACTTGTCTCCTGAACTTATACAGACATTGTTCCTTGTCTTGTTTCCTAAACAAAACAGTGTAACTGCTACTTATACAATATTTATGTTGTATTGGGTATTATAAGTAATCTAAAGATGGCTTAGAGCATATGGGAGGATGTGCTTTGTTATATGCAAGTACTAACCCATTTTGCGTAAGAGTCTTGAGCATCCTTGGATTGTAGTATTGACAAGGGCTCCCGCAACCAGGTCCCCTCAAGATATCAGGATGACTGTAGTAGTGACCCGTGCAGGCCCCTTCTTTCACAGTTGTACCCTTTCACACCTGCTTTACCCTTGAGGGAATGGGAATTATTATAGTCTTAAAAAATAAAGGTCTTGCCAGACACAGTTTTGCATGCCTGTAATCCCAGCAGCTTGAGAGGCTGAGGCAGGAGAATCGTGAGTTCAAAGCTAGCCTCAGTAAAAGTGAGGTGCTAAGCAACTCAGTGAGACCTTGTCTCTAAGTAAAATATAAAATAGGGCTGGGGATGTGGCTCAGTGGTTGAGTGCCCTTGAGTTCAATCCCCAGTACCAAAAAAAAAAAGATTTGTCTTTAAAGGTATACCAAGAGGTTAATACTTGAGGAGTACAACCAGAAAGATCAAGAAAATAATGAAGAGGGTTAATAGCTGTGTTAATCTTGATCCATACTGAAGTTGGGAAGAGATTGAAGCCTAATGGATTTTGTGCATTTGTTTATTTTCAAGGGCAAAAGTTCACAGGAGAGATCTATTCCAGAAGCAGCTCAGGATCTGATGACAAATGATTATGCCTCCCTTCCAAAGAAGCACATCTTTGTATCTGGAGTGAAGATTTTCTATGGTTCCCAGACTGGTACAGCAAAGGTGAGAACTTTATATGATGTTTTTTTCCTTTGATTTCTTGACGTTTTAAGAAAATTCCTGAAATATATTTTTTGGCATTGGATTGAGTTAGTCTTTTTATCTTTAGTTACTTCCCCTGTTTTTTCCATCATACATTTTTCCTTTCTGATTGGGTGAATGGATGGGTCTCATCTCTTGTATTCAGTTAAAGCTGATGGATGGTGTCTGGTGGTCATTGTCACGAAGGGTCTTTGTTCTGAAGTTTGCTTCTGCTTCAGCAGGATGGAGAGACTTCTGAGTTCATGACTGATGCTTGTGGCTCCAGGACTAGGGGATAGTCAAAGCAGGATGACTGCAGAAGTGACCCATGCAGGCCCCTTCTTTCACAGTTCACACACCTGTTTAATTGTGCTTTGATGTCTAATAATATCAAGTGTTGAAGATGGACACTAAAATAGATGTGTACTACATGCATAGAGCTGAGAGCTGCTTCATATTCTCTTAATTGTGTCTAGATGACACTTTCTTCTTCATTATGATGGTCAGAGCTATTTAGTGCTTTCTAGAAAAAGATTCTATCTGAGTGTGGTGGCTCATACCTGTAATCCCAGCTGCTTGGGAGGTTGAGGCTGGAGGATCATGAGTTCAAAGCCAGCCTCAGCAACTTAGGGAAGCCCTAAGCAACTGAGCAAGACCCTGTCTCTAAAAAAAATGTGCCCCTGGGTTCAATCCCCAGTACTGTAACCCACCCCCCAAAAAAGGTTTTCTGTAGGGCTAGGATGAGAATGACTTATTAAAAAATCAAGGACTGGGCTGGGGATTTGGCTCAAGCAGTAGTGCGCTCGCCTGGCATGCGTGGGGCGCTGGGTTTGATCCTCAGCACCACATAAAATAAAAATAAAGATGTTGTGTCCACCGAAAACTGAAAAATAAATATTAAAAAATTCTCTCTCTCTCTCTTAAAAAAAAAATCAAGGACTTATTTCTGTCTGCTACTGAAGAAGGATCCACTTCCCTCTTGAGGATTCACTCAGAAGCATGCTTCTTAGGTGATCAGCACTTCAGTCGACTTTGACTCTAGTGCAACCTCTCACCAAGGTCAGCCCCCAGCAGTGCAGGTGGGAAACCTGAGGAAAGGAAGAAATTCATGAGAAGCTGAAACAAAGTCCTTTCATGTTATGCATAAAGTATTTTGTTCAGAGCCTCTTTATGTGTGTATTTAAATTTTTTAAAAGAACAAATGAATCCTTGCAGATGGTAACAAATCCAGGCACAAAGAAATTTCAGAATGAAAAGTGCTTTCCAGAAAGCACCCACCTCACTACCTCTGAACCTCTTTTTGCTGTTCCTGTTTTTAATTCTTGATGATTGTTTAAATTATCATCTGCTCATGTAGTATGTCTTTATCAATAATGGGAAAACATTTTGAACTCTCATACTAGCTCATACACGATCCTCAGATGTCCCTGGCTTGACACTGCTGCCCTCACTAGCTGAGCTGGGGTAGGTGCCCATCTACAGCTGTGCCTGCTGAGCTTTTTTTTTTTTTTTTGCAGTGCTGGGGATTGAACCTGGGGTAAGTCAGTGAATTCCAAGGGATTTAGAGCTTTGTGCTGGGTGACAAAGACTAAATATTTGTTTTTCAGTATGCTCTTTGTCCTTACCCTTTCATGTTTGATACCAGCTCTCACTGGCTCCAGTCCTGCGCTTTCTGCCCTCATCTGGGGATTTTTTTCTCCGTAGTGCTGCTAGTCACTCTCTGGTATACTCCTTTCTCATTCCTAGTTTATTCTGTCTCCAATAGACCCCGAGTTGCTTGAGGTCAAGGGCCATGTTTGTTATGATCACTGTTTTCTAATATTGCACAGAACCCAAACTGGCATGGTGGTGCCAGTGGATGACCAGTTTCAGCTAATAGTCCTGGAAGGCAAGGAGTCAGGTGTTGGACCACCATAGAGAAAAGAGGAGGGTGTTTTCCTGGGTTCCAAAATCTGGCCAGCAGTTTATCTTTCCCAGATTTGGTTCATTTCCTTGAGGAAGAGCTGGCAAGTGTTTTGCCAGGGGTGAGGGGTTGGTGTTGCCTCTACTCTTTGACCCGTGTGCATTCCTCCCTCACCTGGACTTTCACTGCCTGGCTCCCTCCTGCCCAAATCTCTCCCATCTTTTTTTTTTTTTTTTTTTTTTTAAAGAGAGAGTGAGAGGAGAGGAGGGAGAGAGAGAGAGAATTTCCAACACTTTTTATTTCTTAGTTCTCGGCGGACACAACATCTTTGTTGGTATGTGGTGCTGGGGATCGAACCCGGGCCGCACGCATGCCAGGAGAGCGCGCTACCGCTTGAGCCACATCCTCAGCCCTCTCTCCCATCTTGTGTTGTAGTGGTTCGTGGTTCTGTCGGAACTGGAGTCCCGTCAGGGCTGTCACCTGTCAGCCTGCTTCTGTTTGTATCTCCCCTTCTCGTCACACCCCACATTTCTTTCTGTGCTTTTTATGTGTTCATTCTAGTGGGCAGAGCTGCTGGAATGTCTGGTCTTGTGCCACCCTCAGAGTGAGAACAGGATCAGTGGTGGCCTCTGGGAGGGTGACGAGGACACAGTGAGCTCGAGGGTGCTGTGTGCTTGCCACGGCAGACACTAGTCGCTAGCGAAGCCTTCCCAGGGAGTGCCGAGTTCTCCTGCCAGCAGAGATACAAGGGCTGTGCTGTGCTTGTTTGGCTTACTGATGATTTTATTTTTTTCCTTACTAGGGATTTGCGACAATTCTCGCCAAAGCAGTGACCTCCCTAGATCTGCCAGTGGCAGTTATTAATCTGAAAGAATATGATCCGGATGATCATCTGGTAGAAGAGGTTGGTAATCATCTTATTTTTTTTCTTGAATAAAAACTCAAATTTAATTGACCTCTTGACATCTGGGACAATTACAGTCTTCAGAGTAAATCTGATTTTTCATGTTAAGGAATTTCAGCCAGTTTAATTTTCAGCATGAATCAGAAGCCCTGAATGTGTAGTGTAGAGTGCTGATCCTACCGTGGGGTGTGGCCTGTTCTTTGTTGGGGTGGATACTTCTGGGCTGAGGTAGGGGTGGGAGAGCTTGAAATTTTCTCCTTCCCTTGTATTTTTTTTTTTTAGTACTGAGGATTGAACTCGACCACTGAGCCATGTGCCCAGCCCTATTTTGTATTTTATTTAGAGACAGGATCTCATTGAGTTGCTTAGCGCCTTGCTGTTGCTGAGGCTAGCTTTGAACTTGCAATCCTCCTGCCTCAGCCTCTTGAGTAGCTGGGATTACAGGTGTGTGCCATGGCACTGGTCTCAAAGGAAGTATCTTTAGTGTCCTACGCATAAGGTCAAGGCACAGAACAGCCGTAGACAGTATGTAACAAGTGAGTGCAGTTCCAATGAGAGTTTATTAAAAATCAGCAGCAAAAACCAGGCATGGAGTTACTGGTTCAGCTCCCCTAGGCACAGGTGGGATGATCACTTGAGCCCAGGAGTCCTGGCAGGACTGAGCAACGCCGAGACCTTGTCTCACAGTTGGCCAGCCCTTTGCTGGATAAATGTCTAGTTGTTACTCTGTCTATCCGTCTCCACAAGAAAATACTGGGGTGCAGATGAGCTTGGATATGCTATAAATTATTTGTGAAAACTTATTAGCCAACTTTGATCCTTAATTGTAAGTAAGAACATGTGACCAAAGTCTAACCTCCTGACTTGGAACTGTGAAGAGACAGGCAGATGAGGTTCTGGGCTAGAAGGGCTGAGGCTTCTTTCCAAGGTAGGTGATGGAACCAAGTGTGGAGTTACTTTACATTTAAAAGTTGTTTTTTGCCAGGTGAAGTGGTGCAGGCCTGTAATCCCAGTGACTCAGGAGGCTGAGGCAGGAGGTCTGCAAGTTCAAGGCCAGCCTTAGCAATTAGTGAAGCCCTAAGCAACGTAGTGAGACTCTGTTTCAAAATTGAAACGAAAAATCGACTGCGGATATAGCTCAGTGGTTAAATGCCTCTGGGTTCAATGCTCAGTACAAAAAAAAAAAAAAGTTGTGTTTCAGGTGCTGGGGACGGAACCCAGGTTGTGAGGAGTTATGTTGTATGACTTTTTCAAGTAGTTTTAGGAGACCTTTCTGTATTTTTTTCCTGACTGCCTGGGATTTTGTTTCCAATATGACAAAAAAAAGATGATAGGAACTTATAGACTAGAAGTAGGATAGAGCATGGAGAAGCAGCCAGGAGACGGGTTGGAGCCAGGCGGGGTGTTGTTCCTGGCAAGGGGTCCTTTGGAAAATAAGTAGTGTCTATGAACGTGCCCCTTATCCTTAGAGGTTAGGTGACAGGAGTGCCAGCCTTTTAGCAAAGGGTCTTCTTCATTGAGGCTGTTTGTATCTTGAATATTCTTAGATAAGTTTTACCTTCAGTGTCCTTCTAAGCTCTCTGTCTTGGTTAGATCACTAGTAAGAGCGTCTGTGCCTTCCTGCTTGCAACGTATACTGACGGCAGACCCACGGAGAGTGCAGAGTGGTTCTGCAAATGGTTACAAGAGGCGTCCAGTGATTTTCGATTTGGCAGAACTTACCTGAAGGGTATGAGATACGCTGTGTTTGGCCTGGGGAATTCTGCCTATGCAAGCCACTTCAACAAGGTGGGTCTGTGTTAAATTACGGGTACAAATTATTTTTTCATTTTAAACAGGGACAGCAATAACTCATACATGTGTATGTGTACGTGACATAATGTATAAACTTTGGTATTTACAGTAAATTTCTTGAGTTATTCTTTGTGGTGGCGCTTGTCCCCTGACCACAGCTTGATGTGTAGAAGGCTGTCAATAAATTTTTGTTGAATACAGTGTATCTCACACCGTCTAGTGTCTGGGGTAGACTGAGGGCCGTCAAGCCGAGCTGCCAGCTCCCTGAAGGCCTTGTAGGTGAAGATCGTTGAGTCTTTGGACTTTCTCAGCAACCTGTTCTGTTGTTGAATCATGTTTGTTGCCCAAGCTAACTCTTAAAACAGGTGAACTCATTATTAACTCATTAATTTTTAAAGGAAAATAGAGAATAAACATTCACTATCTCTTTTGTAGTAAAATATTAATTTTTTTTTGTTTTATTTTCTTGGATCTTTTTTGAAATGAAGTTAACTTGGTTCCTTTTTGTTTGAATCCTGCTCATTGTACTTAAAGAAATCAAGCCACAGAGCCTCTGGCTTTTCATGTTCTGCAGGGTCACCAGAGCTCCTGGGTGGCTGTCCCTCAGGGCCCTTGGCTGGTCTGTGGTGGGTGGAGTGTGTGGTGCTGGGCACTCAGCTTGCTTTAGTCCTGGTTTTCCTTCATCGTGTCACAGTGTAGATTTTCCCTTGTATTTTCAAAGGCATTATGAAATGAGAAAGTTCACGTATGTAAGTATTCATGTAGCCTTGCCCCTTGGCAACCTAAGCTGACCCCTGTGCCTCAGCTTAACTGTTTCAGATCATAGGGAGTTTGTGAGACATGAGTCTTGCCAAATTGATTCCCTTTGTACTTTATTTCTAACTGGGCTTTGGCCCCACAGGCTTTGTTACATTTTGGGAACTCATTTGCTTTGCTAATGAGTGTTGTTCTGACCATGATTTAGAGCAGCAGTTTTAAATTTTTTGTTATTAACACTTTGTCCACTGACAGGGTTTGTTTGTTTCTTTGTAAAAAAAAAAAAAGTTTCTCGCAGAGAATTAGAATATTACATAAAGTGCAGTCTGGCTGGGTTGAGAGTAGCCTTTGAGGGCTTGCAGTTCCCTGTGCTTCAGCAGCCCCTGGCGAGAGCCCCGTGCAGCCCTGGGCTCTGGAGAGCAGTCTGAGGGCCTTTAGACTGCCACATGCCGTCTGGCTCATCTCTCTGTTCTTGCAGGTTGGCAAGAATGTTGATAAGTGGCTCTGGATGCTTGGTGCTCGTCGTGTGCTGGCTCGAGGAGACGGGGACTGTGATGCAGTTAGAAGCAAACATGGCAGCATCGAGGCTGACTTCAGAGCCTGGAAAACCAGGTTCATTTCCCGGTTGCAGGCTCTTCAGAAAGGAGAGACGTCCTGTGGGGGCAACTGCAGGAGAGGCAAGTGCGAATCCAAGCAGCATGGCACAGAGGATAAGGAGCCAGAGCCTCACTCCCTGGCTGCCCAACAGCCCAGGGACACTGAGGTATGTGGCCAGCCATCGCTCACTGCTTCCCTCCACGTCTGGAAATGCGAATGTCACCTCTGCCCCCGGAACCAGTTCATGGGCTTCTGGCCGGAAGGAAGGTCTCCCACTCGTGCTGTATTTAGCCTGTAGTTCTGGATCTTTCCTGTATCTCCCCCTTCCATCGCCACATTGCTTGAGATAGGTAGAGTTTTAACACATCTTGCAGGTTAGCAAACGGAGTCTCAGAGAAGTCAGATTGTCCCACCCGTCTTATTCCTCAGATCATGTTCCTTGCGACATAAATGATTCTATTGTCACCTAAGCAGAGGTTGCAAGTCCCGCTGTATTCACCTGTTTCTTCCCTCACTTTCTGAATGTTTCTGAGTGTCCCTTTGACACTCATGTCTACAGGCTGTGTCTGTGCTGTCCTCTCCACAGCTGTTTCTTTTGGCCACCTGGTCACTTGTGACGTTCAGAAGCAACTCAAGACCCTGACCCCGCTTGCCTTCGCTCTTCTTGGCCAAGTTGTGGCGTGAGTGGCCCCAGCTCTCTGGCTCAGCAGTGGCAGCCTTCACACCTCCACAGCCTTGCTTTCTCCCTTCTGTAGTCAGCTCTGTAATCCAGGTTCCTGTGACCCGTACTTGTGCCTCATGCCAGGGCTCCTACGTTAAAGTCTCTTGACCCCATTTGCTCTCAGCCATTTTTGTTGGAGAGTGGGGATGGCTTGCTTCTCTCTCTTTGTGGGCCTTCTTTGGACTTCATGCTCTGGTGAGCACCGTCACTTGCCTCACTGTTGGCCGCACCGCCAGCCAGACAGATTGTGCCTTTCCCATGCCCTGCGTATCATGGCCACAGGCTCAGCCATGCACCCACCAGGCTCCCTCCCTTCCCCTGCGAGTTCTCCTTCTCACCCTCCTAGAGGTCATTGCACAGCTCCTTTCTCCCACCCCTTCTTCCATGTCTCTTGTGGAACCACCAGAGGGGAAGGAACCCGGTGAGGTCTTCCTACCCCGTGCCACCTTTGCCCTCTTTCCTGGTTCAGAAGTCAAGTGTCTGGTCTGTGCTGTGGGGTCAGGGACTTGGTTCCTTTGTATATTGCATCCGCCTCTCTCCCTCTCTCCTAGGTTGTGCCTGTAAATAAGCAAACATACTCTGGAAGCATTAATGTTTTAAGCAACATAAAAAAGCAAAATTTCCCTTATTGCCCCTCTTCAGTCACTGATCCATTTATCTGCTTTTTTTTTTTTTAAAAGAGGTTCTTTTTTTTTTTTAAGGGCCTTTATTGTGTTTATTTATTTACATGTGGTACTGAGAATCGAACCCAGTGCCTCTCACATGCCAGGCAAGCGCTTCCGCTGAGCCTCCGCCCCACCTCCTATTTATCTGCCTTTTTTTCCAGCTAGTCTTTTTGCTTGAATTTGCTTATCCTTACTTCAGTTTATTTATTTATTTTTTTGGTACAGGGATTGAACTCAGGGGTACTCGACCACTGAGCCACACCCCCAGCCCTATTTATATTTTATTTAGAGACAGGGTCTCACTGAGCTGCTTATTAGCACCTTGCTGTTGCTGAGGCTGGCTTTGAACTTGCAATCCTCCTGCCTCAGCCTCCCCAGTTGTGGGGATTACAGGTGTGCGCCATCACAAATTTACTCTAAACCTTTTTATTGAAGTAGAATTCATGTAACATAAAAATAACCTTTTTAAAGTAAACAGTTGAAAAGTGTTCACAGTTGTGGATGACTGCCACTTACATCTGGTTCCAGAACTTTTTTATCATCTTAAAGAAAACCCTTGGCCCTCAGGTAGTCCCCCCTGCTTCCCCCAGTTTGCCCTGTCTGCTTTCTGTCTGTGGACCGTGCGACCTGGAGAGTCATGTAAGTGTGGTTGTGCAGTGTGGGACCTTTGTGTCTGGCTCCTCCACTTGGCTTCCCCAGGATCACCTGTGTGGACTGTCTCCGTTCCTATGGTCAGTACTCAGTGAGCGTGTGCCTGGCCTGTGCCGCGCCTCCTCAGCCTCTGTCTGCTGGCCGTGGGCCTGTTCCTGCCTTTGACTGTGGTGAACCTTGCTGCCGCCAGCCTTCGTCCACATGCCTTCATTTCCTTTGGTGTGTCCACAGGAGGCACCTGGCTGGCAGTGCTGCCGCGTGACCTACAGAGCAGGTGCCCGTTCCTCATGTCCCCTGGCAGCATGGGAGAGTGAGTTCTCACGTCTCCCGACACTTGTTTTCCACCTTCCCACTTTTCACCTGCCCTCCAAGTTGGTGTGCAGGGACGCCTGCTGTGGTTTGGGCTTGCGTTTCCCTTGTGACTGTGGATGTTGAGCTTTCATGTGCTTATCGTCACTTATGTGACTTCCGTGACTTCCTTTGAGAAATGTGCATTCAACTCTTTACCCACTTTTTAATTGGGTCATTTGTCTTTTTGTTGTTGAGTGTGTAAGAGTTTTGATTTTATCCTGGGAAGTCACACCTATCAGAAATGCAATTTGCAAATTCTCCATTTGATAGACTTCCTTTCTTGAGGTTCTTGCTGTTTATTTCCTTGCTGGTGCCTTACAGTCATGCTTTGCAAGGTCTGTCTTGCAGTGTTGGCACCTGCACATGACTTCTGCTCAGTCTCCTTCACCAAGCCTTCCCTTCTCGTCCCTCCTCCCTCTCCTGGTCCACTTGCTCTACTCTGCTGATCTTGCTAGGTTTTCTTTTCACTCTTCTCAGTCACAAGGGAAACTTGGCCACACTGTATCGATGACTGAGCTGCAGTGTGATTGGAAAATGGGAACTGCTAGGCAGGCAGCATTGTTTTTGGAGGCTGTTTGGAGCTCCTTGCAATTGCATATGAATTCAGAGATTAACTTTATCCAGTTCTGAAAAACAGGTTGTTGGTATTTTGAAAGAGATTGAGTTGAATTTGTAATTTATGTTGGGCAGGCTCATCTGAGTAATTTGTGTTTCAGTCCATGAACACAGGGTATTTTCCATTTATTTAGGGAGCCTTTAACTTCTTTCAACAGTATTTTGAATTTTCAGTGTATAAGCCTTTCACCTCCTTGGTTAATTTTTTCCCCTAAGTATTTTATCTCTTGAAATGCCCTTGAATTCTATCTCTAGTGATCAGAGAAAATACACAGAATACTTCAGAATTCAAAATTTATCGAGACTCGTGTTTTGGTCTGATACGAGATCTGCCTGGAGAGTCCCATGTGAACTGGGAGTGTGTGGGCTGCTCTCCGTGGGTGGCAGTTCTGTATGTGTGTGGTTCCCTGCCGCACAGTGCTGCACAGCCTTTGCCCTTTTTCCGTGTCACTGTCCCTGCTGGTCTGCAGTGCTGAGAAGGAAGGAACTCAGGACTGGGTGCTCTAGGGCATCAAGCGCCTCCCAGCCCTGCATCTTATTAACCTGCTGGTTCTTCTGGCTACTATTGAAAGTGTGTTGTTAACATTTCCAGCTGTGGTAAAGCTGTGTGTTTCTCTTGTCAGTTCTGCCAAGTTTTGCTTCATCCGTTTTGGTTCTTATGAGATGAAGCATCTGTGTGAATGATTGTTAGGTGTTCCTGATGGAATTAATTATCAACTCTTGTTAATATACAGTGGCCTTCATTTCTTGTATTTGACTTTGTCTGATAGTCACCTCCCATCTCTTTTGGTCAGTATTTGCATAGATTGTATTTTTTCCGTTTTTCTCACTCTTAACCTTTTGTGTCTGTGGAACTGAAGCTGGTCTCTTGCACAAAACATAGAGTTGGTTCATGCCTTTTTTGTTTTCCTTTTTTCTCCTTCCATTCTGGGTATTTTTGCTTTTTAACTGGAGGGTTTAATTCATTTTCATTTTAAGTAATTACTTGTAAGGAAACACTTCTCTCATTTTTCACGTTTTCTATGTGTTACATGTTTTTGTTTCTCATTCTTTTCCATTATTGCCTTCTTTTGTAGTGTTTTTTTTTTTTTTTAATTTTAAAAAATTTTTTGTGGTGCTGCGGATTGAACCCAGGGCCTTGTACATGCTAGGCAAGCATTCTGCCAACTCAGCTCTATCCCCAGCCCCTTCATTTGTGTTTATTTAATTTTTTTTCTGGCATGTTATTTTGATTCCTTTCTTGGCAATTGTTGAGCTTTTTGGATGTCTAGACTCCTGTCTTTTTTCAAATTTGGTAAGTTTTCAATGTTTATTTCTCTCTATATTCTTTCTCTTTCTATTCCCTTTCTTCTGGGACTCCCTGACGTGTGTGTTTGTTCTCTTGATGGCACCCTACAGGTGTCTTAGGCTCTGTTTCAGCTGATCTGTCCTCACATTTGCGGATTCTTTTGTTTGTTCATATCTCTTACTGAAACATTCCAGTGAATTTTTCAGTTCAAGTTTTGTACTTTTCAGCTCAGGAATTTGTTTTCTTTGAATAGTTTCTATGTTTGTGTTACTATTCTCTATTTGTTAAAACATTGTTCTTATGTCTTTTATCTCTTTGAGCATATTAAGACAAGTTGACTTTAAGTCTTAATAAAATTCAATCTGTGCTTCCTCAGGGACAGTGTCTGTCTGTTTTTTGGTACTGTAACAGAGTACTTGAGACTGGGTAATTTATTAGAAACAGAAGTTTTCCAACAGTTCTGGAGACTGGAAGGTCCAGAATCAAGCTGGTATGTGGGGTCTAGTGAAGACCTTTTTGCTGACCCGTAGTGGTAGAAGGTGGAAGGGGACAGAGTGAGTCCATTCTCACAATCTTTTTGTAGTGGCATTGATCTGAATACCCCAAAGGTCCCGCCTCCCAACAGGGTTGCATCTGAATCAAGTTGTCAGCACAGATGTTTTTGAGAAAACACATTCAAACATAGCAGAGAGTTTCTGTTAAAGTCTCCTGTAAAGGGGCCTTTTTTTTTTTTTTTTACATTTATAATTTTTTTGTTGTTGAAAAGTAGAACTTTTGGATATTCTGATGTATTAACTGTGGAAATCATATTCTTTCTCTGTTAAGGATTTGTTTTTGTAATATATTTCTAGTTGGCGTGAAGGGTTTGGCCTCTC